GTAGATGAATTGTGCATTCTGAACGAGAAGATCTCGGCTGAACTCGACTATCTTCGTAAGGTATGTATATTTAAGATAACAAAATGCTTATTTCTGCAACTGTCTGCTTTAGAAACTGGTGAATAGCGTTAGCAAAGAAGAGATGGACGATTTATCTGCATCGCTCAAAAAATGCCAACGAGATCTCGACACAGCGATGCGGGATAAAAAGGTTTTGTTGGAAAAAGAGGTAAAATTTTGCATCAGTGGAACTTTTGTGGCAATTAATACCTGACAATGTTGCAGGAGCACTATGGTAAAGAAATTTCAAAGATTGATTCGTTGCGTTTTGAACTGAAAGCTCGAGATGACTTGATTTGTGACCTACGCGCTTCTGAAGACAAACTTCATGCTGACCTGGTATGGTAGTACTACTATAGTTTGCGCCAGACATAATATCTGCGTGCTTGAGGCTGCAAAAACTGATGAGCTGCTCAAATTACAAAGTCAGTTTGATGAACTAAGTCGGGAATGCTGCAAAATTCGAGACGAGTACCACTTTTTCCAGGTAACCATCATATTTCTCTTATTCCATATTTGTTTCATAGCTTGGTATATTTAGGAAAACGCTGAGCAACAATATTGTGCCATGTTAGAGGATAAGTGTAAACAGATAGAGGCTATGTCAGTTCGGCTTGCACAGCTGGAATCATATCCGGGTAAGCATGTCGCTTTGCTTTTTTTGGATATTCCTCACTTCAAAACGTGTCCTATCTAATAGGGCAAACACTTTCTGCCGATGGTGCACTCTGCGCACGATGCGCAGAGAAAAATGCAGAACCGGTAGACGACTGTGCGGAAGGCCATGCTCTTTATGAGTATTTGCCGACGGCACTACGCGAATTTGTTGAAAAGAGCGTAAGTCCTTTTACGATATTTTTGTTTCTTGCTATAGTTTTATGGAAACACATGCCATTCAGGACTCTGATGAAGTGAAGGCTGCAGTGGAAGAAATGCGAAATACTTGTGTACCAAATCATAT